ATGATCTGCTGGAAATGAAAAGTTTTATCACTGTACAATCCTCAAGATATTTCAGTCTAGCAACTCATATTCCTCCACGCCTGATCAAGATAAAGCACAGCTACACAGTCGGTATATGCATTAGGTCAAGTTTCATTTGCACAAGAAAACTGGATAAACTAGAAAATGTCAGAGATACTAGACAGATGAGAAACTGCATGCAACAAGGAAATCCAACTCTGAGCCAATAAAAAAACTTAAATGAGAAGTAATTTTTAATAAAAATATTTTAAAAGAAAAGTCACAAAATAATATAATCAGAAAATTATCTAAAAATATTTTTCTCTAACTAGCAGCACTCTTTTTTCCTTAAAGGAATAATTTAAGCAGTGAATATACCCACTGCAACAAAAATATTAAACAACATATTGTAGTACAAAACATAATAAAAACATATTTGAGGTAAACATTAATTATTTGCACAATAGAATCATAAACTTATATTAACATCAAAAGGATATGAGAAGAAATCTTCAAAGCTCTTCCAGGTGAGTCATCAAGTCTTGTCCCCTCTGCGCTGATGGCTAATAGCTGAACACTGACCAAGATTACAGAGAATTTGGAGCAAAACTCATACAGAAGCCAGCACTCTGCCTTAAATTTCACATCTTCATGCCACTTCTGCAAGGAAGATCTCTACTGCAGGTAAGTCTTATTTTCTTGAAAATTATGAAAAGCCTTTTAAATGACATAGTGGCATTAGCATTTTGCTACTCTCATTCCCAATGTCCCCATACTTGCTGTAAGAATGCACTAATGCTCCTTCTGCCTCAACAGACAGAAAAGCAACTGCACCAAAGCAAAACAAAACTGCATGTTTTTAATAGAAGACCTGACTGGTAAGTTTTAAATCTTTATTTAAGAAACATGGTATTAATAGAACACCCTGTAGAAAGCCCACCCTGACAGCAAGGGACAGCAAAAACCACCATAAACTCGACTTAAATGAGGAGACACACACACACACACAAAAAAAAAAAGACTATAAGCAAGGATAAGTA